GTACATACCATGCAGAAGTTTGTTGAGTATTTAACCCTCGCTCTCACAAGCCTACATCCACATGCAGGAGACCATGAAGCTCTCTTGACCTATAAACCATCCCTAGGCATTTATCCGACCTCAAGAAGTTATGTCCCTTTGAAACCCTCTTTGGTTGTGCCATATGCCCCAGGAGTAAGGGTTTTGGACATGACTAGGGCCGTAGACCTTCCAACCCTATGTCAGTCAACAGACACACACTCCTACATAAGTGTACTATCTAAAATGATTTTTTTATTTACATGCTCTCACAGGCTGTAAAGGTCACAAACCCCTAGAGGTCTCTCTGATAATGTTTGTAAATTACATTACAATTTTTCATTCCACATTTAGCAATATTTTTATTAATTTTGGAATGTACGATGCTATATGCAGATCTTGATTGTTACTGTAGAAACCTTGAGTAACTTAAATGTTTTTCCTTCCATTGGGCAGACTTATAATGCAATCCAACATTGCTTTCTGACAGTCGGTTCAGTTTATCCGGAAGAATTGTTCATGTATCTCTTGAATGTGAGTCATGCAACTCTTCGTATTGTGTTTTTCTTTTCTCCTAGTCATTTTTTGTTAATGTTTTAATAATGAGTTACTTCGTTCTTGTTTTTCATTGGTGATACCCAGAAATGTAAACCGAGGGAGGAATCTTGTACATTTGGAGCTCTTTGTGTCTTAAAGCATCTGTTACCCAGGTGTGTTTAATTATTTTTGATAATTTTATGGAGGTCATTATCTGGATCTAGGCTCCTAAATTTTTGGTTATTTTACGTATGTTGGAGGTTATCTGAAACTTGGCATGGAAAAATTGAATCACTTGTTGAGACTGTGAAATCACTTTTAGAGGATCAAAGCGTTGGTGTCCAGAAGGCACTTGCCGAGGTATCTCCTCTACTGGCATCTTACACTTCTCATTAGGATTTGTAGCGGAAAATTGACATGAAAACAACCCCTCTTTCATTCAAATGGATTTCAATATAGAGGAAATTATTTGTTAATATTATTTGTGTTTGGTTTCTAAGAAAGAAAAAATAACACTACCAGGGAGACTGCCTTAATTTTGGTTCTCTACAAACTTAAAATATCAAGATCGCAGTTGGACTTATCACTTTTAAAATATCAAGATAGCAGTTGGACTTATCACTTTTAAAATATCAAGATAGTGGTTGGACTTATCACTTAAAAAAATTTAACAATTCCCCGATTATCAGCTTCGTCTTTTCTTTTTTTGAAATGATCAGTTTACTCTTTTCTTCATGCACTTGTCTGACACATTGGGGTAGAATTGCCTTTTAAAAATTAACAGGTCAAGGGGCTCTTTTTAAATTTCAAGGTGCTTATTGTTTTTCAAGTTTCTTGGACCACCTGCTTGATCTTTCCAGGTTTTTCTGAAATCATTCTGATATTTTCTTGTTGTTTTAACTTGTGGCCATCTTCTTTTTTCTTACACTTATTTTAGTTTGGTGGTTTTGTTTTTGTAGACTTCTTTTGGCCAAGTTATACTTATTACTATACTGTATGGCAGTTGATTGTGGTCATGGCTTCACATTGTTACTTGGGAGGTCAATATGGAGAACTGTTCATTGAATACCTCGTGCGCCATTGTGCAATTACTGAAGCAGATGTTGCAGGTTGTGACCCCCAAAAGGTGGCAGTTCAGAATTTCCCATTTAAGAAATCAGAGGTTTTGCAACATGATCTCATTTGTGTGTGTGTGCACGCATGCCTGCATTTGTGTGCGTGCGAGTGTGAAGGGGGGGGGGAGGGGGTGCGGGTGGGCAGGTGAGAGAGAGAGAGAGAGGGCATTCTAAGGTTTTTGTCCTTGCAGGTGAAGGCTGGAGGTGTCTGTCCATTTGAGTTGAGAATGATATGTGAAAAGGGGCTGCTTCTTCTTGCTATCACCATTCCTGAGATGGAGGTACACTTGGTTTGGTTTCTTGAACCAACTTTTTTATGCTATAATACATATTGCCCTAGAAATTATAGTTTAATATAAGGGGGGAAATGTCACAGAAATGGTCAAATCACCTGAAAAGATACTACCGTGGTCAAGTTAACCACTTTATCAACCAAGGTTGCACTTTAATAAAATCATTTCACTCAACTACATCCGCTATCTTGTTAAAAAAGTCCCAACTGTTTTGGATTTGGAATCTTGTAAAAATAGGGGTGCTTTGGTAATTTGGCCCATAACACAAGTGGGACCAAATTACCAAATGGAGAAGAATATTCTTCCATTGGGGGAGGAACTGGGTCCTTAGTATCCCCGAGAAGGTGTTGTGGTTTGAGGCCTAAAAGGTCACCATGGATATTACCTTGTACAGGAGAGCTGAAGCCTGTACTTTTGAACCTTGAAAAATATGGTTGTTGCTTTCCACCCAAATGGTCCACAAGGTTGCTGCTACGGTTGCCTTCCAAAGAGCTCTGCTAGCCTTTGGCTACGGGGTGTGGAGCTCATAGGAGATGAGTGCTTTTACCATGGGTGGAGTGACCCATTTGATGCCAAACAGTAGCAAAATGTTCCCCCAAAGTTCAAAGGGGAAGTCACAGTGTAGGAAAAGGTGAGCGTTTGACTCCTCATCTTTTAGGCATAAAGCACATATGTTAGGGATAGGAATCCCTTTCTTTTGGAGGTGATCAATAGTGACGGCTTTGTGAGAGCAGGCAAGCTGGTTGAAGATTTGGACCTTGGGTGGAGCAATAGTGGACCACACTTTCGAAACTGCCAAAACAGGGTTGGCCGGGAGGTGGGAGGCTGCGAGACGGTTTTATAAAAGGAGGCCACCGAGAATTACCCTGGAGGAGTGGGTGTCCAAACCAAAACATCTCTCCCTTGGGTTAGGAATAAAATGGGACTGAAGGCCTGTTAAGAGCACTTGAAAATTGTTAAACTCCTCATCGGTTAGGTTTCTTCGAATGGAAGGATTCCAAACTCTACGTTCTCCTGTAAGAATCAATTCCTCAGCCACTGTAGTTGCTTGATTGATAGCCAGCGAGTAGAGATCTGGGAAAGCCTCCCGCAGTGGTGAAGAGCCTAGCCATAAATCTGACAAGAATCTCACACGGGAGCCCTCTCTCGGATGAATTCTAGTGAGTTTTTTGAAGTGAGGCCAGACCGAAGAGAAAGATTTCCATGCTCCTGAGGTATTATGTTTGTGGGACCTCTCAGGCACCCATGCTCCTTCAGGTATCATATACTTGTTTCTTAAGACCTGAGCCCACAGGGAATCAGGCTGGGAAGCCAATCGCCACCACCACTTGCCTAAGAGGGCGAGGTTATGCTTCATGAGGACCCTGATAACTAGACCACCCTGGTTTTTTGGAAGGCAAATGTTGTCCCAAGCGACCAGATGGAATTTAGTCCTCTGAGCCTGCTCTGACCATAGGAAGTTACACATGAACTGGTCCAAGCAATTGGCCACTTGAGCAGGCATATGGAAGAGTTTTAACAAATGCTCCTACATGTTCTTGATTCCAAACCTGAAACAAGAGGTTTAACGAATAGAAACACATGTTCCGTGTATGGAACCTGGGAAGTAGCGGTAATTACTTCATTTGGCTGGGCCACTTAAGTCTTGCCAAATGAGGTAAATAACCCAGCTTGTTTTGGGTTTCAAACCTGGAACAAGAGATTTTGATGGAGAAAAGCATGTGCTGACTTGGAACCCAAAATAGGTAAGGTTATTTATGTCATTTGGGTTGAACAACCTTAGTGGGGCAAAATATCAAAAGGAGCCTCCTTTTTCAGGATTCCCAATCCATAACAAGGGCAATTGTTTCTTTTCTTTTTTTTCAAGCAAAATATTTGAGGAGGTAATTGTGTGAAAGATCTTTTTAAAGTAATCACTTCGTTGATAAATTGGTTGGTTTTACCACCTTAGTGTTTTCTGAGGTGATTTGTCCATTTTAATTATACTTTCTCAACATAATTTTTGTGTTTCTTTTTTCTTTTGGATCTACTATTGTCAACCTGAAGCTGTTGTGGTTTTAATCATAATTGCTGATGTTAGTTCTTTTCTCTACCACAGCCAATCCTCTGGCCTTGCTTGTTGAAGATGATCATCCCAAGGAAGTATACTGGAGCGGTTGCAATTGTAAGGCACTTTTCTCTCTCCTCTTTCTCTCTCTCTCCTCTCTCTTTCTCTCTCTCTGTTTCTCTCAAATTCATCAAAGTTTGAATGTTTTGGGATAATGTTACAGGTCCACTCTTTTCTAGGATTCGTTTATGTAATTTTCCTGTTGGTGATAACGCTCCCTCTCTGAAATCATAGCTTCCTTGGTATTTTGAGCCATGATACTTAAATTTGTTCTGCCTAGAGCTCCCTCTTGGCTCTTCTAATTAATAAGATTTTGAGGCACAATTAACTCTTTCAATATTCTTTTTTGAGGCTCTGAGGCGGCATCACATATATATTGTGGTCATCGTTACAGTGTAAGGAAGAGCATGGCATAATGTTGTAACCACATTTTTAGAGGAAATGTTCGTGTAATATAGTTCTTGTCGTATTATTAGAGGAAATATCTTATTATTAGAGGAAATGTTTGTGTAACCACATCGTTACAGTGTAAAGAAGACTCGACTCCGTCGAGTTGTCATCACCATCCAACCTGTATAGATCTCAAACATTGAAGATTGGAGAGATATTCCATGCGCTTCGCAACTCGGCTTTGCATGTATTACCATTAATCTTATTGATCTTACAAAATCCAATTTTCCTGGCATTGAGCTTTCTGTAGATGCCCACTGGAAACTGTTTTGTCTGAGATACACCATCATAGGATCTCCAACATTAAACAGTTGTGCACAGTGGTGTTGATTCACAACATCTTGGTACTTGTCATAATTCTCACTTTCCTGGGAATACTGTCATGCAATTGCTTCATATATTTGGACATGCTTGCAGCATCTAGTTCCACATCTTCAAGCATAGGTAAAGGAATACATATCGTAAACCACTGTAAAAGGAGTCTTCCTGGTTGACCAGTTAAGAAAAGTATTATACGCGAACTCAGCTTGTAGTAACACCAAATCCTATGCTTTTACATTTTCTCAAACTAAACTTCACATGTTGTCCACACTTATATTCATCACCTCGGTTTGACCACTTGTATGGAGGTGATAAGCACTGCTGAATTGGAACTTAGTACTTATTTTTCCCCATAAAGTCCTCCAAAAATGACTTAAGAAACGAAGTCATAATGGTCTTGGGAAGCCCATGCAGTTGCACTATCTCCTTAAAAGAGAGAATAACAACCATTGTAGCATCTATGATCCTCCTCCATCGAATAAAATGTACCACCTTAAATAATTGAATTGCATCCCCTTGCTATCCTTAGCAATCCCATTTGAAATTCATGGATAAGTCAAACCATGGACTAGTTGGGATAGGTAATGGTGTGCAAAGGTCCGTGTTTTTGAGAATTTCCCTTGGCAACCTGACATATTCTGCACCTGTCGACAGATCGATATACATTCCATCTCATATGTGGAATAGGGAACCGATATTTGACTGTGATTTTTTTAACAGCCATGCTGTCCATGCACATTCTCCATAACCCATCTTTCTCAGGGGTAAGCAAGGCTAGTACAACACATGGACACATGCTAATCCTTATGAGTATTAATAGCAACAACTCATCCACCTGCCTTTGAAGCTCATCATGTCCATTAGGACTCATTCTATAGGCTGGTGAGTAAGGTAGGGCTTGACCCATGTATGAGGTCTATAGACTCTACAATGCTGTGTATTCCTTATAGGTGTCAAGCTTGTAGTAACTCATTTGGCACAAGGTCCTCGAACTCCAAGAAAAGTGGTCCTAGGGCCTTTGGGCAGTGAAATAGGCTACCCCAAGTACCTACCGACAAGTGCATAAATCTCCCTGATCTCTTATCTCTTCTCCATAATTTGCTGGAGACACACTCTTCTCTTTGGAAGACTTGGGTGGAGTCTCCTCACACATGGGCAGTAATACCACTTTACGATCATCCTTCCAAAAAGTGTAGGTGTTAAGCTCACCATTATGGATGGTTTTGTGGTCTTAACAGCAAGGAACCCTAAGAGTATGTGGCAAGCATCCATTGGTGCTACATCACACCAAACCTTATCTTTACAAAATTAACAATAGAAAATTTAATCAAGCATCAAGAAGTAATATGTACCTCATTCCCGTGTTTGAACCATGCAACCTTGTAAGGATGTGGATGCTGTCCCACCTTTCGATGCAACTTGTCTATCATCTCAAGAGACCATGTTCTCGCAACTCCAGCTATCAATGATGATGTCGTACATTTTACCATTATACGTGCACCAAGTGCAAACATGTTTGTGAAACATCAATCTTCTTCGTGGGTTTCACATGGCAATGAAAGAACATGTCGAACCAGAATGCTCTGGCCTTGATAAGCCACCACTTCATCGACTTGATCTTTGATCTTCAATCTCAGCCTCGTTTGCAATGGCAGGCACTGGGTGTTCTCCATGGTCCATCCCTTGTTCAGTATCATGCTTGGGCCCTCCCAACTTGGCATGGCGCTGGGCTTCATGTAATGGATACTACGTGGCTTTGTGCCCCACCTCATTACACCTAAAGCACCTTGATTTGCATCCTTTTGGGCTCGCTGGGCCATCTGTTACTGTAGATTGGAGGTGTAGGCCTCTGACTTTGTGATGATCCTACTTTGGGGTGGGTCGACATGTGGCTGCTCCCTTTCCTCCACTTTCAAGGCTGCTTCATAGGCTGCCTCCAACTGAGGAATATGATATCGTGTGAGTGCATCTTGTAATTAATTTTGGCTCGCTCTCTGTTGACCCATTTCGCAGAGATAGGCCACAAGAGTCCTCCGTATACTTCCTAACGGATTTTGCACCTTGATGCAACCTGTGAAATTATTGGCAAAATGTGCATAGGTTGGAGAAACAGATTTCTTGCGCAACCTTACCTACATCTTTGCCCATGGCCTGATTTTATCTTTGTCCTTCAAAGCCATGCTTCATGAACTTAATCCCTTCACACTGAGGCAAGTCCCCTAAGCTTAAGAGCCACTAGTTTGACCTTCTTTGAATTTGACATGTCTTTCCAATCAAAAAAGTCCTCAAACATGCTCAACCAATCCAAAAATGCTTTGGTGGAATGACTTTCATTAATTTCAAGGGGATCAATTTTGATACCTGAATTAGACTCTTTACGCATGTATCCCTGTGCATCTCAATATGGATTACGTGATTCCTCCTTGTCCGTACCCCTACGCCAATCATATCGGCATCGAGGTGGTTGACTGGTTGATTCTCTATCAAATTCATGCTTCCCTCGATGCTGTTGTGCATCAAATAAAACTGGATGACCTGACATATCATTCAGCTGTCTTTGACCTAGATTCTGGCTCCGATTCGTGCCAATCTCCTTCGAGACCCTCACAATTTGGAGTGTGGGAACCACTTTGTTTGGAGCACCTAGTTGCTGATCCCTCCCTTACAACACCATCTCCTTCAAGTTTTCGAGTCGCTTGTTCATTTAATACAGCTTAGCATTCCCATGGTCTTGACCTCTACGACCAGCAATTGTTATCACGAATTGTTTTTAAACCGTGTTCTGATACCACTTGATGTGAAAGAAACTCGAGAAATTAAATACAGCCTCCTTTCGATCTTAGAACAAACCAAAATTGAGCAACAATGGAGGAAACAAGTGGTTGTAGATGAGGACGTTCTTATTTTATCAAAAAAGTTCAGCACAAAATAACAATACCAGAAATCCAAGTCTAGAAATCCAAGTTTGAGGGGGACATCCACCTTAAATAACTCCTTCCCTCCCTCCCTCCCTCTCCGTCTCTCTCTATCTCTCTATAGTATGCGATTCCTCCTTCCCTCCCTCCCTCCCTCCTCTCTCTCTCTCTCTCTTTCTCTCTCTCTCTCTCTATCTCTCTCTCTCTCTCCAGTATGCGATTCCCATAATATTAGGACTTCCCATTGTCTCACGCTCCACCCCCATGAAGTCCCTTTCCATGTGATTTCTTTAAGATCCTAACGAATCAAAACAATGACGTCAATCCTAACGAAAAGAATAGGAAACTTTCCACCCTACGCATCACACTAAACCAAATCCCCCTTTTAGTCCCCACATAACAATAATCAAATCCCAATTAATCCCCTTTCACTTATTAACCCAAATTACCCAAAATAAAATAAAATAATTTGTTTCTAGTCCCAGAGTTCAAAAAATAAAACTAAAATAAAAAAATCAATTAGATCATCTCCCGAATTTGAATTCCGTGAGCATGCATGTGTATGTGTTTGGAGGCATTATATGTGAATATGCATGACTGTGCATGTGTGCACCGGCACGCATGCCCCTATGCTTATGTTATTGAAATGTTTTTGTTGGAGTTCTGCAAATTTTTGTAGCAGCACAAAGTTTTGTTGCAGCACAATTAGTGCCTATAAATGATAAGAAAAGCTGGAATTATCTTGCCAAAATTTTGATTTCTCCAATTTGATTTGTGATCCTGGTATTATTGCAGGTGTGTAGATGTATTTCAGAATTGTCTCGACATAGATCATCATATGCTAGTTTGACCGAAAGTATCGCACACACAGATATTCCAATTCCTGAGGTAATTTCTGAAGTGGCGTACAGAACAGCTATTTGTGCTCACTGCTCATAAATTTATGAGACTACTATCTGTTCCTCCATGATGTAGCAGGAACTGTTTGCACGCTTGGTGGTTCTTTTGCATGATCCCCTTGCAAGGGGGCAGCTATCTACTCAGATTCTTACGGTTGGTAGCATCCAATTTATTGTCTTCTTGTTGTGGTACTGAAAGTATTTAATTGACCATGTATGCATACATACTTAGAGGTTACTTAAAATTTTCATTAATGATAAAAATCCAAATGACCATGTCCACTATTTTTTTTGAAACTAGGAAGATTAATGACCATGTCCACAATTCTATTCCTTTTTTTTCAATTTTATTTTGTATCCGACCCAAAAATATATTTTATCCTGTCTTTTAATGAATATTCTTCAAAGAATTTGTTAGGGATTCTATGATTAATATATTTTAAGGAATTCAGAGATAGATATTCTGTCCCACTTGCTAAAGATTCACTTGGTTGACAAAATAACTTTTGTTATGAACTGCTTTTAGTCATATACAAAAGGTTGATTTGTCTTTGTTGGAAATGATTTGGTTGGGCATCTAAGGCAATAGCAATGTTTTCTGGATATCACATTGTTAGATCTGTAATGGAAGTAATGCAATAGTTTTGAAAAGAAAAGCTTTCCTGCATCCTTTTCCCACATTATCAATACTGGATTCAATTCATCAATCTGTGCCGTCCCATATTTGGGATGATTATTTTTTAGCTATGTGGTGTTAATATGTTTTTGAGTTATATGGGATTGGAGTATGAATGGGCTGTTGTGCTACGCCAACATGCATGTCTGGGGGTTTTAAAAATGTTTTGAGTCGACTAAGAATTCTCTCATTGAATTTAAGGCTGTTTTCTGAACTTGATACTAATTGTTGTGCCTTAGAAACATTCTGTTTAAGGGTTCTGAATCTATTGTGATTGATTCTTTTCAATGTGACTAAGTGAACTTATTCTTAGGTGTTGCTATTGATTTTTATTTCTTGCAGGTCTTGTGTTGTTTGGCTCCACTTTTTCCAAAGAATGTTAATCTATTTTGGCAAGATGAGGTATGAGTCTAAGTACAATACAGTATTTCTTAAATGACCTTCTTACAGAAAGAACTATTAAGAAAGAATTGGTTTATGATTCTGAATAAAGCAGTTTTGATGTTCTTATAAATTTGGGTGACTACGTTAGGTATTTCTACCATGGCTCATGTTTTCAGGGATTTATTTTCTTTGTTGAAATTTTATTTTTACCTTTTCTTTGTTGGATTGTTTGTACCGGCTCTTAATTCTGTTGTCTCAGTGTTTCTTCTTGATAGTTGAGCTTTTGGCTGTGATTTGGTTGTTGATTTTCATCCTGGAGATATCTCAAATGTGCAATCAAGCAAAACTCACCCTGCAGGCTATTTAGTTCAAAAGGAAAGCTCTCTATGCTTCCTCTCTTTTGTACAAGTTATATGTTCCCCTATCCCGCCGTCCAATATGAATGGACGGCTAAGATGGACCCAATTACAATGTCGTGCCTCTACACTATTTTATTTTTTAATTTTTTCTACAAAACATTTTGACACTAAATTTTTGGCTTCCACTCCTCTCTAGAACTCGCACCTATGAAAAATATAAAAGAATATTCTCGATAAAATAAAATAACCAAAATACCCCTGAAACTTTCAGGCATGCTCTATTGAGATGAAGTCACGTAAAAGAAATTGAAAAATAAAATACTCTGAGATGTGGGATCTCGATCAAATGGTTAGTGGCTCATTTGATCTTGATTAGACGGTTGGATTTGGGGGGGGGGTCGGGTGGGAGTATATAACTTATACACAATAGGGAAAGTATAGAAAGCATTTGCTTATTTCAAATTGTATTATTGTCATGATCTCTAACCCATATTGATGATTATTGGTACACTCCATCGAGAGTTTTGTGATCATGCAAATTCTAGTTCTTCTTGGTGGTACCCATGAGGTGTCATACAGTGACAAAACTGAATAGATATGGGGAGAGTAATTGTTTGCTGTCTTTATTGTTGTATTGTCTAAAAGGTGGATTATGTGACCGGGCAAGTCACTATTGATAAAAAATTTCCCACTACCTTTTCTTTAGTATTGCTGCCCGAATAACTCACAAGTGTCAAATACAATATGTGAGACAAATAAAACACCAAAGACTCCCACTTGCTTGCCATTAAAACAAAAATACATTCATGATATAGATCTGGAAATAATGATACAATGGAATCATAAAAGCATAAAACAAGAGAATACTTTTATACCTTGCTTCAGGTCACCCCCAAGGATTAAGCACATCCCACACCGAGTCTTCTCCACTAATGACATATGGGATCTAGGTTCAAGATCTCATCTCATAACTTGGGAAGTCTAAGCAAAACCAGCAGAGAGCATAACATGAGTTGTCCTTGACCGAGGCTCAACACTTGAGTGTAAGGTCAAGACCTAGGGCTAGGCTATGTGGCTTGGGCATGCCACCCCATAGGGTTTATTTTCTATCCTAAACCCTAAACCTGGGAGAGAAAAGAAGAGTAAGATTTAGAGAGTCGCATTCCACTCCTTGAGGCTTAGAGAGAGAGAGAGAGAGCGAGAGAGAGAGAGAGATGTCAAGTCATAGAGAATGATCTCCATCCATCTTTGTGAGACTTAATCTTGACCTTGATCTTAGAGACCTGTGGGGTGAAGAGATCTCATCCATTCATCCCGTCGATCAGCCATCATGATTAAAGGGAAGAGGTGGAACCATTATCTCTTAATTTCCATAACTCCATTCCCATCAAATAGAAAGTAACAAATCTATCACAATTAATTTCTTACAACTTCCTCTTTAGAAATCAATCACTATTAATTTCTTACACCTTTCGATTTTGAAATCAATCGAAATATCTACACAAAAGGTTTCTTAAAATATCAAGTCAACATATGGCATAATTTGCATCTTTCAATTCAGGGAAGTTTAGAGGAGGTGGGGCACACCACCCATAGGGTGGCCATGTGGGCCCCACATGTCATAGTATGATGGACCCAATCCCAATAAGCCCCCAAGTACTTTCAACATAATTTCCGATGATACAATAATTTTGTAAAATCTCTAAATAGTTTATTTTGCTTTGATTAAAATAAATCCAAAAGATTGATTTTTTCTTTAGTTAAAACTCATTTCTCAATAAAATAAAATACCTAGAGAGTTCTAAAAATGCATTGTAATTGTTTGAAAAATAATTAGAACATATTTAAATATATCTAAAAGGTTTTGATGGGAATTGGATCCATAGAGTTAGGATTAGGACAAATATATTGAGGTCTCCATCTTCTTTAGAGACCGTATCTCACTGCACCTTCTCAAACGGACCCAATAGTTCTTATGACCCACAACCATTGACAGGGGTTCATGATTGGACTATCAAAGTCAGTAAATAGAGTGAAGGAGATACGGTGCTTGACCATGGATTATAGGTCCCTTCCTGAGGAGCAGTCCAGGCCCCATTTCTGCAGTATGCTCTATGGGTCCTTCCAACACAGTCCAGTGTTGCAGGGTGTCATCTCTTTTGCACATTTACATGTCACATACCCTTATCCAAAAAAGCCGTTTTTTGGACGGCTATCTAGTGTACATGTCGTGTGATGGTAATGATGGGGATTTATGCCCTTGTTCTCTTAGACTATTCATCACACATAGGGGTCAAATCCATGGCCTTTGGCCAACTTTCCTAGGTACATTTCCGACCTCATCAAGGGATAATGTCACATTGAAACCCTTGTCGGTTGTGTTCACACAATAACCAGGACTACGGGTTTTTAAGCATTATATTGAGCCATAGCCAGTCAGAGCTCAGGCATGTCCAGGCATCAGAAATGCCTCACAGTCCAAAAGTGTACCACACTCCCACTGGAGCAAATATATTATTATATAAATTCAGTACATGATTTCATAAGGCCTTTCAATGGCCATATAACCCCAACATCTCCCACTTCTCCTTTGTAGGGCTTACAAGCTCTCTTCCTCACTTTCTCTGAGGCCCATCCCATGTGCATGTTTGGCAAACACATTTGCCACTAATCCCTTGGTTAAAGGGTCTGCCAGCATTGCCTACGTGGGAAGATATGCAATCTCTATCTCGCCGAGTTGGACTTCGTTTTGAACATAAGAATAAGGTGGCTTGATGTGCTTGGACTTCTTGTGAAAACGTGGTTTCTTGGTCACACATATTGCAGACTGGTTGTCACAAAAGATTTTCACACATGAATATCTCATGGGATCGAACATGAGCTGATCGAGAAACTTCTCTATCCACACAACTTGCTTGGCTGCTTGACAACATGTCACGTACTCGGATTCCATGGTTGATAGGCGACTACGTCCTGCTTCTTGGATTACCAAGAAACTGTCCCACCACCTAGCATGAAGACATACGCAGACGTCGACTTGGCATCATCAGGGTCTCTTGATAATCTTTATCTGTGTACCCCTGTATGACTATGTCTGACCTGCCTCCATACGTGAGTGCATAATCCGCGGTCACTGTCAAATATCTGAGGATTCTCTTAACTGCCTTACAATGTTCAAATCCAGGATTGCATTGGAAGCGGCTAATTACACTCATGGGAAAAGACAAGTCAGGTCTCATACTTGATATAGTGTACTTGAGTGACGCTACTGCGTTCTGATAGGGCACTCTCTCCATGGCTTTCTTTTCATCCTCTTTGGTCGGGCACATTTTCAGGGATAATTTGGCCTTTTTTGCTATGGGGGTAGATATGGGCTTGCATTTGTCCATTACAAACTTTTTCAACACTCTCTTACTGTAGGTTGCTTGGGAGAGTTGAATGGTCTGAGTCTGTTTGTTTCTTGTTATTTTTATGCCCAATACATATGATGCTTCCCATAAGCCTTTTATATCAAAGTGTTGCGAAAAGAAATCCTTAGTCTCCCCTGTTGGAGCCATCGAGCTATTGGTTATCAACATATCGTCCACATATAATGAGAAAAAATCACATCACTTCCACTTACGTTGACATAGATGCAGTAATCCTAATGGCTAGAGGTAAAACCTGCTCTAGACAAAGGTTTCTTGGAATTTTTTGTACCACTGTCGTGAAGTTTGCTTAAAGCCATAAAGGGATTTTTTGAGTCTACGTACCGAGTCCTCTTTTCCTTTTTCAAATGAAACCTTGTTTCATGTAAATTTCCTCTTCAAGATCCCCATTTAGGAAGGCCGTTTTAACGACCATTTGGTGGAGTTTGTAGTCAAAATGGGCAGCTATGGCAATCAAGATCCTAATGGATGGAATTTAGCAACTAGAGGAAAAGTTTCATTGTAGTCTACCCCTTATTTGGGTGAACCCTTTGTGGTTCGGGTTCTTGAGTCTCAACCCTGTCAGTTGCCATCTCTGAGAGATCAACTATCTTGTGACTGCATCTTTCTTTGAGAAACTCATCCTCGAAGAAGTGAGCATCCGTACTTTCTAAGACTGCCCCATTCTCTATGTTGAAGAAACAATAGCCCTTTCCATGATCTGGGTATCCAATAAAGATGCAATTAACCATTTTGGGATCATGCTTGGATTGATTTTGGTATGGGACTAGAACATGGGCCTAGCATCCCCATACTCTTAGATGGTTAAGGGGCGGAGCACGAACAATGAATATTTTGGGTGGAGTAAGTGGGGCTGCTTTAATGGGAGTACGGTGAGGATATACCTCACCATCAATGCTGCCTCTCCCCAGAATTCTAGGGAGAGCTTTGCATGCCTCATCATGCTCCGCACCATCTCAATTAAGGTCCTATTCCGTCTCTCGGCTACACCATTTTGTTCAGGTGTATAGGGCATGGTAAATTGATGAATTATCCCATGCTCTACACACATCTCCTTAAAGAGCTGTGAAGAATACTCGCCACCTCTATCAGTCCGTAGGATTTTGATTTTCTTATTGGTTTGGTTCTGTACCTGGGCCTTATATTCCTTAAAACGGTCTAAGGATTCAGACTTGGTATGTAGCAAATAAGTGTGGCCATTTCGCGAGTGGTCATGTATGAAAGTGATGAA